TTATTAAAAGATCTACTACAAAACTTCAAGTAGATAATTTCTAAATCCTTAACTAATTACGCAGTGCACCTGTGGGTTTTCCCATTCTGAACCCGTGTCGTAATGGACTGCTCCAATCGTTGAATCATTCCTTCAAATGCATCAGTGCTGGCCACTTGCTGGTGGTAGATAGGCGACGGTGCCACGTCGCAAATTTGATCAGCCAAAATAGCTACCTGATCCAACATGGTATCCTTCTGAGAGGCTATGATGGCCTGTATATGCGTAGGTAAGCGACTGGACCATAAGCTACGAAGAAACTCATCACCAACACTGTCCCCAGCCAACGCCCTAAGATGACGTAGGAACTGGGAAGGTTTTCTGTCGCCCAATTCTTCATGTGTAAGCAGCTGACGCATACGTTGTTCCCGCGAGACTGACAACCTGTTAATAATTCGCTTTTGAGCTTGTTGTACTTATCTGTCGCAGGCGGCCGAGTTATGATGTCACGAACCTCTCTGGCCGTTTTATGATCCAACTCTCTGATCACCTGGTAGTACTTGGTTGCATCAGACTTTATACCCGACATCTCGAACTGCGCCTCCACTTGGGCAAACCAAATCTCGGCATCTTCTGCCCAAAATGGAGGTAGGCGAACAGCAACTCTATCCACCGATGCACTTCGTGCCGCATCGGAACATTCTAAAAATTCTTCGCCGTTACCGGGCGCGGCGGCGGCGTCCTCTGTAGGACTTGGTTTGGACATTATTTACCACACAGACTTTTACTCTCACAGTTAGCTCGGCGGTCACCAATATGTGGGTTTTCCCTTCAATAAAACCACTGCCAAACCTTTAGGAAATTATATTCAATCCCACATGAAAAATTGATAAAAGAAAAGACGAAAAAACAGGACTCGTTGCTATGGAGATCGATGCTCGTTGCTTGGTAGNCGTAAAACATTTATCTTCGTCTAACAGGGTTGTGGAACAACCAAACATTTTAGAAGATTTATAGCCATTTATTTGTTGGACATTAAGCGATGACGATCGTATTTTTATAGACAAATAGGCACTCGAGGAAAGCAATTGAAACAAAGTTCACAAAATCATTTGACTGCTTTAATTAAAACAGTTCTCAATAACATTTATGATTCTAACTTCGATTTAATTTAGACTAAAAAATTTACGAGTTTTACTTCAAGTTTTACCAGTAAGTAGGCTAACAGTTCTAAGTTAATAAATAACATTTTACACACAATCGTAGAGTGGGTTTTAAGCATAATTAACGTTTAGTATTCCATAAATTTTACTTAAAACAGCAAATGGTGTAATAATTCGTGTGTGAAGCCTGGGTACTGAACTACTGAGGAGCGGTATTCTGACATCACTCTACAATTATTGTGTACGCACGTTCCTAATAAAAACTAAAAAGGACATACTAAATACGAGAATTTGTGATATTTTCCAAGCATAAGTGGACATGCAACTATATTATATACAATATTATTATTACTTATTTTTTATTTCCCTTTATTATAGAAACACACAGCCTTATTCACCTAGCTAAGTAAAAACTGGCTGTTTAACATTTTTCCTTTTCAATATTGTTAGTTTTTGGCCAGCTTGGTTGATATGGACAAAACCTGAAAACATACGTTGAAATTAATAAGATGAAGGATACTCGACGCATGATATATTATTTACTTACCAGCAATACGGATATGGACTGGGTAGTGAAATCGAAATTAATTTATTCCATCAGACAAATAATAAAAAAATATTGGACACGTATTTTTAATTTTTTCATAAGTAGTCTAATAATTTACAGTTATTATAAGTAGGCGTTGACTTGAAAAGTCGCGTGCCGTCACTTCTAGGTAAAAAATCAACCTAGGAGTGAAGGCACGCGCCATTTTAACTCGATTTAGCACTGCTATTATTTAATTATGCAAGAAGAGAAAAAATACGTGTCCAATATTTTCTTATTATCTGTTTGACGAAAAATTATGTCCACTAGCCTATTGTTTTGAATTGATGAGCGAATTGTTTGATGAGTCTGTAATTAATATTGAATACAGTAACCTTATTCATTGTTTGATATCGACAATGTCGATTCGACATTATAAGGGTACAGGTGACAGCACACCACGCCAAATAATGTGGCGTCTTATAGTAGTTGTAATAAGAGTGGTTTTGCAATAAAAAAGTATAGCCTGATGGGCTGTCGCTGTACAATATCTACGCATGGGCCTCGTGTTCTTAATTAAGAAATAAGATTACATACGGAAATAGGAAAACGAGTATCATTATCTAATTGATTACACATATTATGGTACAACCTATTTTATTAACGTATGTGAGAAATTATCTGTCTGTTTGTTTCGTCATTCCTCTACCTAACCCGCTAAAGTTTTTTTACCGCTAGTAACATGCATAAAGGATTTAATATTAGGATATGAAACTTTTGGGAATCTATCTCTCTTTTATACTAATAATAGAATAACATTTTTCATATACTTTTCAAAAGAATAAAAGGTTCGTACCTAACCAACAATGTTCTTATAAAGATAATAATTATTTTTATTAGATTTATCTAATTTCTATGCATCTAATTTTACTACGACATTTTCCAGCTAACTCTACACTAGATTTAATGGCCTAATTTAGGTTATAAATAAATAAATTACAGAAATAAATTCGACCCTTTTTATCCAATTAAAATATCGATCGAACCCAGAATAAGTGTCCACTCGAGGCAACGGCTGTTCCTACTGGCACATAGCCAAGTTCAGTCGCAAACTGTACGTTAAGTATTTTAATAAAATGTTACACAAATGGTTATTATGAGCACCCAAAAATTGTGTAAAAAGTTTTTGCTCACTTACAATCGAAAATCAATATAGGTACGAGGCTTGTAACATACGGTTTAGAGCAGTGTTCGTTCCGCAAAGTCTCGGAAAAATAAGGATATGTATCTTATAAACTTATTTTTAGTAAGTAAGTAAGGGTAAGGTTTTTTACCTGTGGGAACCTATAAGTGGTTTACTTGTTGCCTATCTTATGTCATTATTACACACTGTAAAATAAATAAATAAAAAAAATAAAATAAGACTAAAAAAGGTAATTACCTACTTAAAAACTGATTTTGTGGTGTGCCTCCTAAAAATTTCGTTTTTTTAGATGTACTTGAACGCAAAAAGTTTGCGAAACACTGGTTTAGAGTAGGTACACTTAGAGGAATTCAGTAGCAATTGTAAAAACACATTCAACGAAACCTAAATATGTAGCGCAAATAGCTCTAGGGACTGCGAATTTGGGATTGAAGAACGCTAGGTTGAACCCGGCGACCGCTGGTCTATTGTGGTGAACCCATTCTTAGCACCTAGGCATACCTTTACGTAGCTTACTACAGGTAAGTAAGTAACTAGGTAGGTAAGTAATTCAATAATGTTCCTACAACTTACTGCTATTTCTATTTATTTATATTAAACGGCAGACAGTGGTGACTGAGTTTGCACTTCTCAGCACTTGCCAAATGTTGGTCTCGACTCTCGAAGCGCTCTGGTAGGGTAAAATAATTATGAGACATGTAGAGGCTCCTTGAGAACAAAATATTTGACGAATTGTTTAAACAAATAAATAAATATTGACTTTTGTTTACGACAAAATACTTGTAATCTTTACAATAATACATTTCGTAAAATAAGTGACCTGCCCAGTGATCACTTATTCCCGGAACTTTCCGAAAGATAAGTACCTAACATTAACTTACACAGTATAACAAATATATAACTTTTTAAATTATAAAGTTAACATCAAGATTCGTACAACGAGTCAGTGTGATATTATTCAAATGTAACCAGGAGTTTTGAGCAAACTGAAATTATATTCTGAAACTTTGCGAATTTGCTCTGAGAGATGTCGATTTAAATATCAATTATCTTAGGACTTGCTCTACCACGGTGATGATCTTAAAACACTTCAATTAGGTAACATTACAAACAAAAGAAAATCTAAGTTAATTTTGTTGAATTTTACTTGTTATAGAACTTTATCTATTAGTCTTTAATTGCTTCATTAGAACTTTGATAATAGTTTTGTCCTTTACACTATAAAAAAAGGTATTAGACTAAATCTCTTTACTAATCTATAATTAGTATAAAGCTGGAGAGTTTGAAAGCGCTCTCAGGAACTGCTGGTCCGATTTGAAAAATATTTTTTGTGTTAAATAACCTTTTTATCGAGGAGGGCTTTATGATAAATACTACATTTAACGTCACCCTACATACTATAGGCAGAGCAGTGCCTAAAGAAAAATGTTGCAAACACGGGAAATATTGTTCAAACTATTTTCACGCGTACGAAGTCACGGGCAAATCTAGTATGATAAACAATGTAAAACCGGTAATTCTCATCATTACTTATATCTTTGTCAATTGGATATAGCCAAATACATCTGTGTACCTATGCAATTTAGTGACTTATTGAAGCGAACGTGAACTTAAATCGAAATCGAACGTACAGACGTAATGATTGTCTACAAGCTCTGGAATACAATTCAACATTGTTATCCACTATGGATGAGAAAATAGATTCATATCCCTTCAATGTAAGTGATAGCACATCAAGCTTAACACAGATGCATCTTAGGTAGAGGCAATAAAGACGAATTTGCAACAAAAATGAATGGCTTGAAGTGCTGTTATAGAGGAACATGCCCGTGGGAATATTAGGGTCTCACCCTTTAATATTGTATTATGTTTCCTTTTGTTAAACAATAGTGGAAATTCTGTGGCGTGGTGTTGGCAATTCCGTGGTAGTAACGAGCACTAAACTAATGAAAAATAACTCCCTTCCTCCCTCATAGAATCTTATACTCTCATTATCTTTGTGAAGTAAACCTCCACGCACGTGTGTAAACACACGTATTGTAATTGAAAAAAAGAATTATAAGTATAATTTATGAAATTTGCAAACTCAAGTTTATTTAGAAAAAAACAGTTAGGGTGTCTCTTTTAATATCTTTAATTACTAACATTACACGTCATACATAAAAGTTTTATTAATTAAGCTTATTATTTCTATTTTCGACTAGGCCCCAGTCCTCTCAGTTTTGCTCCAAGGTCCGGAAGAGTCCCGTCTTTTGCTGTCAATCTGAGTTCGAGACCGGCCCTTCAGAAAGTCCTGAAAAGTTGTTCGAATTAGCACAAAGGAATTTCTTTACTTTCAAACATAAAAATGAAATGTATATCACATAAAACGGGGTCATAAAGATTTTATGGGGGTTATTCAACAAAAACCACGGACACCCGCGGTCACTCGTTAGTTATTGGCCTTATCTTTAATACTTATGTGTTTTTGCTGTGCGGCTATTGAGATAGCAAAAAGTAAGTGAATAAATAACCCAAGTTAATAAATGTAACTTATGTGTAGGGTACGATAGTCTTGCTGAAAAACGCCACTTTTTCGTAGCTCGGGTGTAGTCCCCGGACTTGTACAAAAACTTAAGAGGTAGTTACAGTCTTCCCTAAAATATCGCTAACAGCAAAAAAGCGTCATAAAGAATTCTTTTATCACGATTTCTTAAGGATTCGTAGGAAATTGAACTCATTTTCCTCGACCTTTTTATCTCGTGGAAAATGTTATGTAGAACCCAGCCACCTGCCAATTGTGTCAAATTAACTTTTTCCTAGTTCTGACCGTGTAACTGGGCCACAGGCGGTTGGATTCATGTCGGTACCTGAAGGGTGTTAAACATTTTGATAGAAAAAGTTTAGGGCTAGATACTGACTTTGAAGGCTTGTCGAAACTTGTGGGACATGAGGCTGTACAGGATCGGGTTTATGACGGAGCACAGGTAGCTGCTGTAACACATGTAGTTGACTATCCGCCAGGCCTGCAAGAAATACAGGTGGGTATTATTACAAAGGCTTTATTAAATTAAAGAGTAGTACCTATTATTAATTAACGCCTCGTCGACGATCTGGCGAAGGTCGCTTTTTTTTTGAAGGGACGCGCGCTGGTAGCTTGAGGAGCTTTTCCAGCTTCACCGGGCAGAGTGGCGAGTACAGAAGGTACTCTAGCCGTTTGGCGATCGTCGGTGCGCGTGCCGACGAGGCCGAGTGTGGGCTTCGCGAAGCGAAGCCCAGGCTCGTCCGCNTGCCAGACTTTATCGTATTGAATGTAGCCGCTAGGGGAGCTTTATAATATGTTATTCACCCTAGAGTGCTCGCGCTATGAGCATTTTGCCGCCCTCGGCAAAAAAATCGAGTTATTTTCTACACGATGCGTTTGTCAAAGTCAAGCGTTTCAGTAGCTGCCTCCCCATACTTCACCTCCATGTATTCGAAATTAGAAGAAATTTAGTGCGCAGGTGACCGCATTAGATCACGATTGTTGAACGTATGTCACGTTTTGCGGCAAATTGCTCACTGCGCGACTACTGACGTAAGTAAAATTTGTGTGTTTGGTTTTTAGTATAGTTGGAAGATTATTAGTTTTCATTGCGTATAATGTTGTTTTGACATTAATGACGTCATAACTTTGATAATTACTATTAGTGCTTAATTTATTTCATGTCGTTTTCGGTAAAATTTACGTAAAATACAAAAAATGAAAAAACAAGGAAGATGTCGGATTTCGAAGAAGCTGGTGCACTAAAATTAGTAGAAAATGTATACTAAAGTTGTAAAGAAAGTAAACATAGTCATTACAATACTGTTACAGAACAATCAGCGGCAGAATCTGAAAATGATGTGCCAAGGGTGCAATAGTTGTGCAAATTTACTGTGCAACGCACATTAAATGCACATGTGACAGGCCTGTTTTGTTGAAGCACATGTCATAGATGAAGAAAACCTTTAAATGTGCTAATAAGTTTAATATTAAAATTTGATGATGTATGAAGGTAAAAACAATGTTGTTTCTATGATTTCTATAAATATTTCCTAACATTTCCAAAACATATTTTTTTCTTCAAATTTTAGCCACAAATCTTTAATGAACGTTATTTTCTAATAGTGTATGCTTTATTCTATCATTTTTAACTGATTTCATACTTTTAAACTGTTTTTTGACACACAACCGGACTTGTAAGTTTGGGCGGCAAAATGCTCATACGCGAGCACTCACATTTCATGGAAAGGCGCGACTACTCTAGGGTTAAATGTATTTTTTACGTAGTCGCTAGCGAGCACACCTAACGTAAACTCATGGTAAGCACACTGGTTGTTATGGAAACTGTAGGGTTGAAACGTAACGAACGAAATGAACGTAACCCTTTTAGAATGGAAAGTATGCATGAGTTGCCATGCCAGGCCACATGGGGCTTTAATGTATGTTAATCGATTTTATTCGTTCATTTATTCACTATTGAAGTAAACAGTAGTTAACTAGAATCATTAATTTACTGTCTGTAGAATAAGTACAGCATACCATGTACCTATCGTACACATTGAAAAGTCTTCTTAAATCAGTTTTAAAGGGTTAAAAGACAGGACTGTTAGTGACAGACTTTCTATTTATAAGTTTATCCATTTGATGTTTTTATTCATAAATAATAAAGTAGAAGCTCAGAAATCCGCCCTAAAAATACAGAAAGTCTTGAATTTCGCAATGAATTGAGTTAATAAAAAATACTTGAGACTTTCTTGAGAAAGTAAATAAATCTAACTTTCTTAACCTAGTTAAAAACCCCAGTTTTTCTCTTAGCATCATTGTTTACGTAAACGTGTAGTAAGTTAGTTTGTACCCTGAAGGCTTAACAAGTAGATAACTTAATTAATTTTGCTTAGCCGTCTATGCCAAACGAAGACTTCTATTTTCTACTAGACAGACTGCTGAACTGAAATTTTGTTCACTAAGTTCTTAAAAAGTTCCACCACTCATTTAGTTGATTGCTAGCGAGCATATGCCGTGAAAACTTCGAAGGTAATATGACTATCCATTATTGTTAAATTAAACAAAAAAACCAACGTTCGTTCGTTTCAGGCAAAATAACGACTATCGCTGGAAAAAGGCCTCCCCCAATTATTTTCACAAAGACTGGTCCTGCGCTGCCCGCATCAATAGATTCCCGCGACCTTCGCCAGATCGTCGGTCCATCTAGTGACCAATGGCCATATTATACCCATAAAACTTTTTAATTTTAACCTGCGCAACTTATTTATTTTAGTCTACTCTCAGTTTATCTAGTAAACCTCAAAGTCTTTAGTGCTAAACATAAATATTTGTGCTTGTCGAAGTAATTCGAATAGTTTGAATAATTGAACAATATAGTTTAGAAAATAATCTAGCCTTGACCGATCTCAGTGGCAATAAGTAGATAGAAAAATAGCTGTCTAGACGAGTAACTATGAAAACTTTCACTAATCGACAATCTGACAGAATAAACTATGAGATTTATTAATATTGGCGTGACATTATTATTTTTGGCTTAATCTTAAACTGGTTTTTATTTTCGGCAGTTTGTGGAAAAACGCCTCTAATCCACTACCTACTAATATTAAAGTAACATTACTAACTTCTGCCTGTGGCTTTGCCCTCGTAGATTTCTAATATAACATTTTATTAATAAATTCTATATTACGCACCTCGCGAAGAACAACATAGCGTGAATTAATAAATGGTAGGATAAGCCATACAAACTTAAAAAAAAAACTATTTTAGTAACAAAAGATATAAATAATGTACTTTCACATAGGTACTTACCTAGGTAACAGTTCATTAATACGATTTTCATCTCGTAGTCTGGGGGCGTAGTGTGAGTTTATATCAAATGCATTCGATTTCGACTGCGTTAAAAATATATGAAGATTTTAGATTTTGAAAGTTTCCGTTAGGGGCGCTGTACGATCCGTCATACATTAATATCGTAAACGTAAACTCACACTACGCCCCATGAAACCTTGTTTTAGTAGAGTCGTCATAGGAACATTACCTATCATTAACACAGTTGTCGTTAAACATGTTTAAATCCTAATGTAAGTACTTACGATATAATAGTCTTCGTACTTGAACTCGCTGTGTATAACCATTATACGCAGCAGGCAATATGGCGACCAGCAGAAGAAGAATGAGGCGGCTACGGCAGCTGAAAAAAAGTCCATTAGTAGGTCAGTAATCCGTATTATGTGGCACAAAAAAGCATACAATGAAATTGTACACGTTTAATAATTATCTTTTACTTTTAGAAGTGCGTAACTAATTTGTCTGTAATAAATTGGTGGAATTTCCAAGTTCTGTGTAAACTAAATATAAAGAGGTTTATATAAAAAAAAGAACATGCATTACGACCCATGATAGAGTTGAAATGAAATAAACAGTGATGCCAAAATAATACACAAAATAAAATAACTAAAATTTCTTAAAAAACTAACAAATACCACTTACCTAACATTTTGACCGCCTTATCTCTGTGCTGCTTTCCATTGACGGGACTATTTCTCAGCTTGAAGTTAGCCTTCTTCAGTTTTATAGCTATCAGTACATACAGCACGAATATAACAGTCATCGGCATCACGAAGAAGACCAACTGTTCCACGCCTAGCAAAACCTTCATGGGATACGACATAGTAACGTAGCAGTAGACGTACTTCTTCTTCTCTAGTAAATCGATGTTGAAAAGATCGGGGATGCAAAATGAGAATGATATCGTCCAAATAATGCATAAGATTTTGAAAACTCGCGATTTGAGAGAAAGCTTTTGTCGAAGAAAAGGCTTGGACACAACGAGGTATCTTTCAATCGTGAACGCACTGATGGTAAGCGCACTACAGTTGCAGAGACAATCGTAGAGTAAGAAGTGGAGTAAGCAGCCTGCCTCCCCAAGCGGGTACAAGTCTGGACACCAGATAATGTAGATTTCTATAGGAATGAAGAGGGCGAAGAGGAGGTCTGTGATGGCCAAGTTAAATAAGTAACAGTTGGTTGGAGTCCTCATGGTTCGGTCGCGGGCGATGACGGCGCAGGTGCACCCATTCCCCACGATGCTCAGCACCATGATTATCCCAAGGATGATGCTCAAGACAATTTTGACAGAATCGGCTTCATCCAAAGCGTTGCCGTCCTCGTAGAATGCCATGCCGATCGGTCCGAAAAAGGAATAGGAGTTATTCCCCAACTCGCTGCTTGGTGGTTGTGTCATGTTGATAGATGTCCTGAAAATAATGATGGTCTGAAGTTAAGCTTCTGAATAAAAAGTAATGATCTCATAAACTACACGATAGATGATGAGTAACATGTCTAATGAAGTTCTGTGTGGCATACATTTTTAATTTTTCGTTTTCAAATAAAGGTTCTATTTCTGTCAAATTATGCATACGATCAGATATTTATATCGTCTACTATCGTATCGGTTCATGGAATTTGCCTACTCTAAAGTTCCATTGGAAATGAAACATTATTGGTACTACAACAATTCTGAATTTGCTCCTAATAAGTAACTTGTAATATAATGTAATGTGGATGGAACAGATTCCACTATAACATTTATCTGAAATCTGTATTTCCTGAAATCTGTATTATCTAATTTAGATACACTACAACTAATACCTTACTTAAACAAATCTCAGAACTAAATAAATTGATAGTTTGTTATAATACAAATTCATATTCAGTTAGCGTCGCTTTTAGGATAACTAGATACTTATTCTAAGGGTGAACTATAAATAAATTTATATAACTTAACGTACCTGCTAGTAGCCAAGAATGAATGCAGCTCTGATGATCGCTAGGAAAAGACTGATCTACTAGACTTTTATGTATGGCCTCTGAAATTAATATACAGGATGTTTACTTTTATAGCTTGCTGAAGTTGCTGAAATAAGACAAAAAATTCAAAGCTCTTTTATAACTGCGTTTAACGCAAAACATGATTAATATTAAGAAGTTATACAAAGGTACAGCATCCTGAAAAAATATATATAAACATATTTATCTCACCTGATACTGCAAGCAACTCCTTCTGTCTTCCGAATGGTACTTTTTGCCCAAACCAAATAGCAAACCGACGTTGCCATTGAGCCAATTCCAGAAATAGTCTGATAAAATAGGAAAGCTATAAAATCAGATCGATGAGGGCCGATATATTAAAATAAACGGTCAGTTTTTGATCTCTGTACAAACAGGAGATCGATATCATACGTTATGCGGTTGAGATCTCTCAAACTGTTACAAAAGTGTGGAACGGCACTTGATAATAAAAATAAGTAGGTACAAAAAACATTGTTCTATTTTTATCAAATTCTTTTCTCCATGATTGTTACAGGGGTATTTTATTAACGCTTTTACCTAGTTACTATTCTTGAAATAGTATATTAATTGAGGTCTAACTACTGTTTCTATAGCAACACAAAGTTATTTTAGGCTACATCTAAAAACCCTTATCTACTTCAAGGAATATTGAATAAGTAAGTAGGTACTGATAGTTACTAAGAATTCCAGAGATCTCGAGTGTTTTTAAACAAAACATATGAAATAACATTTTAGATCACAAAAATACTTAAATTTTGATTTTATTTTCCCGTTGACGAATTTGACGATGTTGTCTGTCATCGCTAAAGATAGATTAGGTATAATTAAAATCACTAGGAGTGATTGATGGCGAATCTCCCTAGGCACAATGATAAAATGTCGGGAAAGTCTGCCTTAGACAATTTATTATCGACACGACACAAAATTTGAATTATTATTTTGTAACATTTGAACAGGAAAAATATTATAATAAAGATCACCCCAGTCACACCCTGGATGTAAAGTAATTGAGTGTATCCACACAAGTGCCGCAAATTGATGGCAAACACTTTGATATTATGTGTACAGTCACCCTTAATGGAAATTACTACTACCTACATAGGACTTACATTCGCTGGTACTATAGCTCATCAATGGGATTTTTAGTTCAATATGTCTGTGATGTCGTCTTTAATACTGTTGATAATTGGGTTTCTCTTTGTTCTAACAGGTTTCGGATATTAAATAGCTCGTGATTAATTTTCAATGTCTGTAAGTCAGCAACGTTTTGGAAAATTCCACTGCGGCCTAATTATTTTAATAAATCGATTCATACTACTAGCAGGAGGCAAATCAGCTTAATCCTAGTCATTCATAAGCGTTTGAAGTCATAGGCAGGTAGAAATACAGGGTGACTTTGCAATCAGTATCCATTTTTTTGTAATAAGCTCTATAGCACAATTTAACAATACAAATTTATCGTAATTATTTTTAATCGTGATAGTTTTCACAAAAACAATTATTGAAAATATAATTCGCTGGTGCCCATGACTTAAGTTTTAAATGATAAGGCTTATTTTCACGCACCATTATGTCTATTAAATTTTGCAGTTACTTGTACGTATATTTTTCTATATAAATATAAATATCCTTATAAATAAATAAATATCCTTAGACATTTCACACTGCGCTTCTAGTCCCAAACTAAGCAAAGCTTGTACTATGGGTACCTACTAGACAACGGATATAAACATAGGTACTTCGTTCGTTCGTTCGTTTCAGCCGAAAGACGTCCACTGCTGGACAAAGGCCTCCCCCAAGGATTTCCACAAAGACCGGTCCTGCGCCGCTTGCATCCAGGTACTTCCCGCGACCTTCACCAGATCGTCGGTCCACCTAGTGGGAGGCCTGCCCACGCTACGTCTTCCAGCTCGTGGTCGCCACTCAAGGTACTCGAGGTACTCATAGGTACTTAAATACTTTTTAGGGTTCCGTAGCCAAAATGGCAAAAACGGAACCCTTATAGTTTCGTCATGTCCGTCTGTCCGTCTGTCCGTCTGTCCGTCTGTCCGTCTGTCCGTCTGTCCGTCTGTCCGTCTGTCACAGCCGATTTACTCGGAAACTATAAGTACTACAGTGATGAAATTTGATGGGAATATGTGTTGTATGAACCGCTACAAAATTATGACACTAAATAGTAAAAAAAAGAATTGGGGGTGGGGCACCCCATCCATGTAACTGAGGGATGAAATTTTTTTTTTCGATGTACATACCCGTGTGGGGTATCAATGGAAAGGTCTTTTAAAATGATATATAGTTTTCTAAAAAACATTTTTCTTAAAGTGAACGGTTTTTGAGATATCAGCTCTCAAAGTCGTAAAAAGTATGTCCCCCCCCCTCTATTTTTNTTTTTTTTGTAAATACATACTTATTATACATAGAAAACACCCAGTCCAATACAAACAAATATGTTCATGAACACAAATGTTTGTACTGTGCGGGAATCGAACCCGCTACCTCCGGAATAGTAGTCCGTTTCGAACCACTACACCAAACGGCCGACAAATATCTATGAACGAAGTAAATTATCCACGTGAGCCAATTTTGAAACCGCGCGCAGCTGATAAAATATCTTTGGACAATAAAGTAAATATAATATAATAATTGTTTTCTTTACGTAAATCGATTAAGTTACTGATTCTGAGTCGCTCCTAAAAAATTGGATACTGATTACAAATTCACCCTGTATAATACCCGCAATTCTGTTCCTCATTTTCCCGAGATTGTTCTTATTAATTAGGTAGATTTCAGTCTTCAAACTCAACTTCATCTACATAATATCTGTTATTTTAAAGCTGTGTTGAATTAATTAGAATACGCTAGTCGCTGACTCTACTGTCTACTGAAATATTAATGTGTATTGATTTAATATTAGTCTTTAATCCCTGTGAAAACCTTTTTAATGCGAGAGTGAATAGGCACTTACAGGGCAGATATTATGTGCCATCCTAGACTGCATCTCACATAACACCAGGTACGATTTCAGTCAAATACCTGCCTCATTAAGTATGCATTAAAAACATTCTAGAACTTTATGTTTAAACCGGACAGTGCTCACTGCTTAAGTTAAGCCAACCTTACTAAGTTAAGTGACTTAAGTAGGTACAGTCGGCATCAAATAGTTCGTGACACCCAAATAAGCCAAAAGTTCCCAACATATCTTTGTTACAATTGGAATAAGGTTGTGTTTTCAAGTTTTTGGCCACTTAGGGTGTCACGAATTATTGACGCTGACTGTACCTACGCAATTTGTGTTGTTACGCCAGATGTGTGCTCCAATCGAGGGAGCTATACATTAGCTCACCTGGATTGAACCGTCTCAGCATCTAAGCCCTAAATTTTGAAACACAAAGAGAAATCAACTTATGTAACGCCTGCTCTATCTAGCTACAATTAGGTCACGGAGAATAGTATACAGTGTGAGTCACGTTAAAGTGTACATATGAAAATAGATGAAACTAGACCTATTTTTATCAACAAAAAAGAGGTCAAAAAAATTTTGAGATTTTTTTTAAATTTTTTATAGAATATTTTTTCTTCCAATTACTTATTGTAAAGAAAACTTAATAACTTTTTAACTAAGCGGTATATCCTGATAAAATAAAATCAATAATAATGCTAAATAACAGGCAATACTAAAAAAATACATAAAATACACAAAAAATGCCAACAAATAATAAAAAATGATACTTTTTGAAAAAAAATTGCTTAAAAATTCGTGTTTTTTTGGTTCTTTGACAAATTTCTCCAAAAAATCCCCCTATAAGAGGTGGTTTTTATTGTTTTGTATTATTCTCTATCGTATTACCTTTGTAAAACAAAAAATTGCAAGTCTCTATCCCTATCACAACATTTGCTATGATAGTTTGAACAAAGGCATACCACAACATTATTCTCCTCTACAGGTAGGGACAATTTTAATTTTAACTAAAATGCTTATTTTTCTTCGAAATCTTTTGTTTTTACTTGAAATCTAACTTGTCTTTATCAAAATTACAAATCTAGAGCCATTTTCAGTTTCGTTGTTAACGAAGCGTTGAATGGCGCGCCCGGAGAGCCTTAGTTCAAACGAACATAGCAAATGTTGTGATAGGGATAGAGACATGCGATTTTTGGTTTTACAAAGGTAATACGATAGAGAATAATTCAAAGTAATAAAAACCATCTTTTATAAGGGCATTTTTTGGAGAAATTTATCAAATAACCAAAAAACACGAATTTTTATGCAGATTTTTTTCAAAAAGTATCATTTTTTATTATTTGTTGGCATTTTCTGAGTATTTTATGTATTTTTTTAGTATCGTCTGTTATTTAGCATTATTACTGTTTTTATTTTATCAGGATATACCTCTTAGTTTAAAAGTTATTACGTTTTCTTTACAATAAGTACTTGAAAGAAAAAAAAAATCTATAAAAAATTAAAAAAAAATCTCAAAAAATTTTTGACCACTTTTTTGTCGATAAAATTAGGTCTAGTTTCATCTATTTTCATATGTACACTTTAACGTGACTCACACTGTATATTAAATAGTATATATGTATAGTTGAATAGTATATATAGTATATAAGTATTTTGGAAGCATTTAAATAATTCAATACATACGATTTATACAATTTCGTTGGCGAAATAAAATTAAAGATTACTTCCACACCATTATTTTATTGCCGTGTGNTTAACTAGTATATAACTAAAAAACCCAAATAACTATTAGCTATTCCTAATTACTTTCTAATTAAGTGGAAATTTTCCAGGTATGATTACAAAATAGACAGCTGCTTATCATGTTTTTATTAAAATAATGTGATAAAAACCGTTTCAACATCATACAGCTTTATCAAATAGCATGGTAATAGGTATTGGTTGGATATTATCATTAGGATAGGTACATAATATGTACATATTTCTATATAATAAGGCATGTCCATAACTCAGCTATACAGGGTAGGTAAATGGCTATATGAGCCGACACTAGCCC